TGCATTGCTCTAGAGCGCGGCTGGGGGGTGTGTGTCATTGCCGCTTTGGATGCTGCGTTGACTTTTCTACTAAAAAAATTGGATTTGTTTCCTGCGAGAGGCTCTGTTTGTTTAATACAAATCCGTTGTTGTTTAATAGTACTTGAAAACGTCTAACAGATGGATTCCGCCCCCCCCCCCCAGTCTAGCATAAATAAGCTAATTTAGGAAGAAGGTGGTCTTCAGGAGCAGCAGGGGACGTTAGAATACAAGTGAGATCTAAAGTATTCCATTGGAAAGATGTGCAGGGCCAGCGCCTCTGCGGGCGGGAGGTCGTTCCGTGGGATTTTTTTACTTGCTGCTCTTTGGTGGTGTCAGTCTTTGAGGTTTCTGCATTTCACTAGTAGGTAGTAAAAAAAAAAAAAAAAAGTGTCGTTTATATTTTGATTAAGTTTTGAAAAGAAAAGTTTGGGATCTTTCTCAGTGTAAGTGATGTATAATTGGTGAGATTAATTGCATGTGTAAGAGTTCTTGGTTTGTTTTATGTTTGTGTTTTTGTGTATTGCAAAATGTCTTTAAAGTTTCTCTTATACAAATAAATTGTAACTGTGAGTTTTAAAGAATGAACGTGAAACTGTAAAGCGTTCTCCTTGCTTAATACAGTTATCTATTTGAAAAGCTAGAAATCTAAGAAAATGTAAGCGTGGAGGGTAGCACCTGAAATACATGTGTTTAGTATATAAGGATTTAAATTTTTGAAAGCCCTGTAAGAAGTTGCTTAAAAAGAGGTACTAAAGGTTATCAAGGTTATCACTTGCTGAAGCAAATGTAAGAAGTTTGTAAGAAGTCATCACCTTAGATGACAAAAAGCATGTATGTGTTGAACAGGATTTATGTGAGAAGAAATTGACTGGCCTGTTTCAATGTGCTTATGCTGATGTAAAGACTCTTGCAGTGAGTTCCTCTAGCAGAAGAGCTGCAATGGTTGTTGCTGTAGCACCTTACTGAAGAGCTGAAAATACCTTCCTCTGTCTGCCTGAATTTTAAAAAAGGAACCCCCCAAAAACACAAACAAAACCCTTGATAGTGTTAACGAATGTTTCACTATTTGAATTGATTGGGTCTTTCTGAATTGCTCCCAGTTCCCTTTCCAGTTTTCTCCTCTCTGTTGTAAGAAGTAAACCCCCAAAACTAGTGTCTTGTTTGAGTTTAGTTTGCCAAGTGTGTAAAGCACAAGCAGTGGAAAGAAATGCAAACTTCCTCTAGTGTTCTCTTGTGGGTCTTGGCCCTGAACGGGGTGACCATCACGAGGAGTTGGGTGTTCGTTCTCTGCTAGTGTTCAGGCTTTGGCCATTCCGCTGAGACTGTAACGGATTTGCCTGGTAGGGCGATTCATAAAGTTTGATGGTTGTAGGCAAAACTTTAGTTTGAGTCATGACGTTAGTAAAAATTATCAGATAAAGAAAGTTTTGCCATAAGCAGTAATTAATAAGCTTTTTTTTTTTTATATGGGTCACTGAAAATTTGTGTAAAAGAAATTAACAGTTTCAGGATGAGCATGTAAATAAAGGGATGTGCATTTTAGAGCATTATTGAAATCTTATTTTATGATATAGAAGTATTCTTTATTAAGTTCATTAATTTCACAATGCAGTTAGAATTATGGCATTGAAAGCTGTCTTCTATTTGTGTTACAGCAGACTTCAGATGTCCCATCTAGACTGAGATATCGTTGTGGTAATCCAGTGAGTAGTCTCGCAAAGAGGTCATGGTGTATTTTAGGAAAATCTCAGTGAAATAAATGACTGGAACTGGATTTTTACTTTCTTAACTAAATTGGTGAAATACATTGAAGATCAATTCCATTAAAACAAATGGAGAGACTGGGGGATTCCTTTGAATTTGGGGAAAAGCTGTAGTAAAATCTACTTAAATTCATCGAGTACAATTTGAAACTTGTATTTTGTAAGACAAGATACTGCATCACCCGGAAAAATAATTAGCTTAATCATGCCCATTGTACAATAAAGAAAATGTGTTTTAAAAATTGTTTTTCCTTCTAAAAACTGCGGGAGAGAAAACGACCTCCTTGAGCTTGTGAAATCATTGCATTCTGCACTAGTATTTGCTGGTTTGCATTCGCAAAGTGGATAGTGACACTAGCTAATGATGTTGAATTGCACCGTTAAATCCTGTGACGCTGTCGTGTTTCTTACAGGCTCTAAGCAGCTTTTGAGCCTAGGCCAAACTAAGGCATGGTGAACTCAAGTTCAACTGTGAATACTGTCGCATTTATTCCTGTTTATAGGTGGACAGATTTCAAGCTTGCTTCTTTGATATCATTAGAGGGGAAAAATACTGAATGTTTGATTCGCCTGTGAAAGTACATTAGATAAGTCAAGAAATACTAGTTTGTTATTTTTCTGTAATTTACGTTCTAATACTCTGGCGTGTTCTGAAACTTTTAAGTACCTATGGCTTCTTATTTTATGGAAAAAGAAAATTAACTTCTTGAGAGAGGACAAAATGGATTCTGCCATGACTGTTCCTTACTTATGTTTACTGAGTGTGGAAAAAATTTCAGGTATTTAACTCTCTTGATCCTGAGCATAAGTAGTTTGTTCTGTTGTCCCTCTGGTCCTAGAAGCACTGGTGTGTGCTTAGCTAACTTAAATGAATAATAGAATTACTCCAAGTAGTAAAATTAAACATGTTTAGCGTGTATACAAAATTAGTCCCAGGTGTAGTATTGTAGTCAAACTTAGAATTGAGATTTACTTCATTGTCATTTGAAATAGTAGGAATTTTGAAATACTTGAAGTGAACTGATGAGAGCCTTAATTTTTAAACTGTTTCTTAATTAAAGAACAAGTGGACACTAGATAAAGTTAATGACAGTTATATTGATTTTTATTTTTTTAAACCCTAGTAAATCTTTCTTTGTATAACAAGTGGCTAGACTCAAAAATAACCTAGTGAAAGCATGTCCAATCTGTGGATTTTAAAATGTACGTACATTATAATTGCGTAGATATAAGGATAGTCAGAGTTAGGTTTGGATATGGCGAGTTTGTTGCAACCTCAGAATGGAAATCTGCGCTCCTACATATGCCATATGACCTCCTGTAAGCTTTCAGTGATGCAATAGGTTTCTTTTGAAGTAGCAAATACTGGATGCTGCCTCTTCAGATACTATGCTTGGTGGGAAAGCTAGCCCTAGAGCATGGGGACAGGTCAGTCCCAGACAGATCTGTGCAGTGTAAATTATATACACTTGTGCAGATGGATGTTTTGAACCTGACAGAACCCGAAAATACATAAAGAGCAGCCACTAGAAATAATAATGACCAGTTGAATAGAGATAAGGGTGTCAGTGCAATACATAGTCATTATAAAAAGCTATGAATAATTAGCATATGTTTCTGATGATGTAGCTGTAGGTTCACTTGTAGTATCTGGGTATGCATCTGAAATGTGAATATTTAGTCTAATCCCACAGCTTTCTTCTGTTTGAATCTTGTTGAACTTGTTGGTCAGAGCATATTGTCTGCAAGAATTGGAGAATTCAGAATTGCTCTAGTCTTAATTTAACTGGGTTCCTTGGAGACTGTGCTTTCTTAAACCAGTCTGTATTTTATTTTTTTTTTCCCTGAAGACCCAGGCATAACATTTTTTTCCAAGTATGTTCAGATGATTTCTTCTTTCAATGAGCTGTATTTCTGAGAACATTTTGGCTCGTGGAAAGCAGAGTTTTATATATGAAATGGGAATTTTTCTGTAAAACAAACAAAAAAAAAAGCTGAGGTCTGGTACATCTCAGTAATAGGGATTATTTTTTTTTATAGAAAAAGTTATTTTATAATTTGTATTAATGTACTTTAGAGCCAAAGTTCATTGTTCCAGATCTCAGATAAAAGCGTTCTTTAGAGGAGATTGTAATATAAAACTGGTAAAGTAAGAGTGAGGGTAGACCTGAAGTTTAATTATCCTGATTAAGGTACAGCCACTTCAATCCTGAAGAAATCGTTGTATCAGAGATCTTGGAATTGCATATACACATAATTTAACCCACTGGCAGTTTCAGAGTGTATTGTGAAATAACACATACTTTCCTTTAACGTGGAGAAGCTTTGTACTGATTGGGATGACATATTAGGAAGGACTGTAATTTTTTTTTTTTTTTTTTACTTAAACCATAATGCTGAAGATAGGGGTTATGTAGTACTTAATCTTTAAAGTGTGTCAGTGGGAGAAGGTATTTTTGTTCTTCCTGTTTTACAAACAGGGGAAACTGGTGCTATAAATGAAACTAGTCTAGGTTTGCTTTTAGTTGTTTCGCCAAAGCTGTCCTGTTTTTTAATATGGAGGTTCATGTAAGCTCTACTGCCTGAAGACAGGAGGTCTCTGCCTGTATGGTAAACATAAGCTAGAGTGCCTAGACTGTAGCCTCATAGGCACAGTTTCAGATACAGCCTGTTTGGCTCTCATTGTGCTTTCAAGATATTACCAGTCTTGTGCTTTCTTTGCTGATTTAAAAACCTAATATTGTGTCCTGCCAAGTCAGAAAGTGGCTTGTTGTCTTCATTGGTTGTCACTCTCAGCCCATACGCTGGTTTGAGACTACCACTTGCATATGCAGGGAACTCCAGGCCGGTCGGTCTGACCTCGGTGCCTGGGAAGGTCGTGGAACAGATCATCCCCAGTGCCATTACACAGCACGTGCGGGAGAACAGGGTGATCAGGCCCAGTCAGCACGGGTTTGTGAAGGGCAGGTCATGCCTGACCAACCTGATCTCCTTCTATGGTAAGGTGACCCACTTAGGGGATGAGGGAAAAGCTGTGGATGTTCTCTACCTGGATTTTTGCAAGGCTTTTGACGCCGTTTCCCACAGCGCTCTCCTGGAGAAACTGGCTGCTCGTGGCCTGGACAGGTATACTCTTCGCTGGATAAAAAACTGGGTGGAAGGCTGGGCCCAGAGAGTGGTGGTGAACGGAGTTAAATCCAGCTGGTGTCCGGTCGGAAGTGGTGTCCCCCAGGGCTCGGTGCTGGGGACAGTTCTCTTTAATATCTTTATCAATGATCTGGATGAGGGGATCGAATGCACCCTCAGTAAGTTCGCGGATGACACTAAGCTAGGC